TAATCAGTGACACTGAACTAGTAAGTGGAGTTGTACAGACAATTTTCCTTGGGTCATTGGTCACCATCGCTTCCTTTACTGGGATGGAAACCAAGAACTGGTGTGGATTCTTTCAACCCCAGTTCTTTCCAAATCCTTGGCCTTTGTTAGGGTAAATTTACACTTCTCTGAAGTAGAATCCTTTACAAAACTACTCCAAATCTCAGCAGTGTTAGTGAGGAATGGCTTCCCGAAACATGCCTGGAACTGTGCCACCAAATTAAAGAAAAACTGGGCAAGGAACTGGATACAGGCCTGGATCAGAATCTCTGTTAGTTATCAGAGCTGCAGTTTCTATTAAAAACAGCTATTTTTCTGCAGCTATTAGATTTCCCACACTGATTTCATTTTATACACATTTTTAGCACCTACAAAGGATATTCAACAAACCCCCCACTTCTGTTTCTACAACATCTGCGTCATAAAGGGCAGCATCTCCCATACCATAGGATTAGCTATGAGAGATCTTCTGTGGAGCCTGGGTTACAAATGCTTTGGGAACGAAACATATGGGCATTTTGCCTAGTTCAAAATCACTTACCATGGAATTCTCTCCCCAGATCATCTGTGTCAATTAACCCGCCTTTTCCCCTTCGTTTCCGGACGCAGCCACACAACGAAACCCCCCCCACCCCCCCGCGCTCCGTCCTTCCACAAACTTTCCCCCTCCCCCCCACACAAATTCCCTCCTGCGGACCCTCCAAAGTGACAACCTTTACATAACAGTTGGGCTATTTCCGCAGTCTTTTCCCCCCCCCCCCATCCTCCCCCGCGGACCCAAACCGGTTTAAACAGTAACGCGGGGGGGGGGGAAAAACGGACTCCTGCAAGCTGCCCTCCCGTCCTATTTAGCCTAATATAGTATCCTTTGCAAATGAATTCCAATTCGCGTTTCTGCTGGAGTCTGGTTTGGTTTTTGTTTTAAGTGCTCGTCGGTGCGGACCGAGAGTTGAGGTTCCCGCGGTTTATGAATGTTTAATTCTTGACATCTGATTTGTTCCATTTATTTTTTACGTAGAGCGTCCAGTTTGACCAATGTACATGGTCAAACGGACCTCCGAAAAGATAATGGACACAAATCGTTCAGAATTATACTCATAAACCTCAGCTCAACCCTGCACCAATCCACAAAAGCATCTTAAAACAAAAAACTCAAATCCGCCCAGGAAACTGGATTGGATTCTTGCAAATTGGATACTATTAATTTAGGCTAAATAGAGACGGGAGGCAATCTTTGCAAGGTACCTTTTCCTCTTGTTTTCCTACCCCCCCCCACCAGTGTTCTGGTTTAACTTGGATTTAAACCTGGAGAGTGGTCGTTTAGATGAGATTACCAGCAGGAGAGTGGTTGTGTGTGTTGGGGGGGGGGATTGAAAATTGATTATGAAAATAAACTTGTTATGTAAAAGTTGTACTTGGATGGGTAGACAGGAGAGTGAATTTGTGTGGGGGTGGAGGGTGAGAAAACTGGATTTGTGTGGAAATGGCCCACTGTTGATCACTTTAGATAAGCTATTACCAGCAGGACAGTGGGGTGGGAGGAGGTATTGTTTCATGATTTCTGTGTGTATATAAAGTCTGCTGCAGTTTCCAAGGTAAACATCTGATGAAGTGAGCTGTGGCTCACGAAAGCTCATGCTTAAATAAATTGGTTAGTCTCTAAGGTGCCACAAGTACTCCTTTTCTTTTTGGGAATACAGACTAACACGGCTGTTCCTCTGAAATGTGTCAATATTGACTTCAACAATTGAACTACACTGTGACCATATGCACGTCCTTCAATTAGTTGGGGTTCTGCTGTTGTTCACCATTTCCGAGTGGAGATTTTAAATCACGGCTGTTACTTTGTTAGCATGTCAGTAAATTGGAGAGTTCTGTCCTGTTGACCGAACTGCACTTGAACTGTCTCCATGTCATCATGGAGGGATGGGGAAAAAGCAAAGCTGAAGTGAGAAATGATGACTTTAGCAAATGGTCGTTTGTCTTAAATTCTCCTATGAATCTGAGCTACATCCTATCAAACTGAACTAATATCCAACTGGGTGGCCAAACAGCCTTAGGAAAGAAAAATCCACATCACAGAGAGAAAGAATACATGACAATGAAAATGTCAAGTGAAATTCCAGAGCAGGTTACATCTGATTATTCAGAATCAGGACAAGAGATTCTCTCATCACATTCTCCTCTGATCCATTCAAACCTGCTTCACTCAGCACTGTCTCAATGGTAAGTTATGTTATTTACAAAATTTTTAGTATCCTAACATCCCCATAATGGGGGAAAAAACAGCCACCTTGCCTGAAGTGGCTTTACCAATAGATGGAACCTGGGATTTAAACTCCAAATGATCACACTGTGTTTGGGATCCATTTGAATTCCCCTTCCAGGTCTTTGACACTTTCATCTCCGGTCATAGTGACTCTGATATAGGATTAAAGAAGTAAAACATCATCTCCAAGCACAGACAGCTGAGAACACTTCATCACATGACACTTTGAAAAGTGGAGGGATAGAATGTGATGAAGATACCTCCTGTTTGAGCCATGCAGAAATTAACAGTTCTGGAGTGATGGGGAAGGAGCGAATCTCTGAGACACCCCGTCTCCTCACAGCTTCACAGAGGTTCAAATGACACTTTTTTTCCTTACCCTGCTCCTCTTCATTTAAATATAATTTTAAAAGTTCCCAATATAACGGCTTTTCAGCACAACCCAGATCAACGTGAGAACAACTGGCACTGAGGTCCTGGCAAAGTCAGGAAATTACGATGTGACTGGAACATGGTTTTGGTAATTAAATATTCATGGTAAATAGGCCCAATGGCCTGTGATGGGTTTTTAGATGGGGTAAGATCCAAGTTACCCGGGAAAGAATTTTCTGTAGTATCTGGCTGATGAATCTTGCCCATATGCTCAGGGTTTAGCTGATCGCCATATTTGGGGTCGGGAAGGAATTTTCCTCCAGGGCAGATTGGAAGGCCCTGGAGGTTTTTCGCCTTCCTCTGTAGCATGGGGCACGGGTCACTTGCTGGAGGATTCTCTGCTCCTTGAGGTCTTCAAACTACAATTTGAGGACTTCAATAGCACAGATATAGGTGTGAGGTCTTTTTTAGGAGTGGTGGGTGAAATTCTGTGGCCTGCATTGTGCAGGAGGTCAGACTAGATGATCATAATGGTCCCTTCTGGCCTAAATATCTATGAATCTATGAATAACAGACTTGGTGGGATAACTCACATGATTGGAGTACTGTCATGGATGGGTATGAACTGTTCAGGAAGGAAAAGGAGGCCAGAAAAGGTGGGGGAGTCGCACTGTATGTAAGGGAGCAGTATGACTGCCCAGAGCTCAAGCATGAAACTGCTGAAAAACCTGAGAGTCTCTGGATTAAGTTTAGAAGTGTGAGCAACAAGGGTGATGTCATGGTGGGAGTCTGCTATAGACTACCGGACCACAGGGATGAGGTGGACGAGGCTTTCTTCCGGCAAGTAGCAGAAGCTACTAGATCGCACGCCCTGGTTCTCATGGGCGACTTCAATCATCCTGATATCTGCTGGGAGAGCAATACAACGGTGCACAGACAATCCAGGAAGTTTTTGGAAACTGTAGGGGACAATTTCCTGGTGCAAGTGCTGGAGGAACCAACCAGGGGCGGAGCTCTTCTTGACCTGCTGCTCACAAACCGGGAAGAATTAGTAGGGGAAGCAAAAGTGGATGGGAACCTGGGAGGCACTGACCATGAGATGGTTGAGTTCAGGATCCTGACACAAGGAAGAAAGGAAAGCAGCAGAATACGGACCTGGGACTTCAGAAAAGCAGACTTTGACTCCCTCAGGGAACTGATGGGCAGGATCCCCTGGGAGAATAACACGAGGGGGAAAGGAGTCCAGGAGAGCTGGCTGTATTTTAAAGAATCCTTATTGTGGTTACAGGGACAAACCATCCCGATGTGTAGAAAGAATAGTAAATATGGCAGGCGACCAGCTTGGCTTAAGAGTGAAATCCTTGCTGATCTTAAACACAAAAAAGAGGCTTACAAGAAGTGGAAGATTGGACAAATGACCAGGGATGAGTATAAAAATATTGCTCAGGCATGTAGGAGTGAAATCAGGAAGGCTAAATCATACCTGGAGTTGCAGCTCGCAAGAGATGTTAAGAGTAACAAGAAGGGTTTCTTTAGGTATGTTGGCAACAAGAAGAAAGCCAAGGAAAGTGTGGGCCCCTTACTGAATGAGGGAGGCAACCTAGTGACAGAGGATGTGGAAAAAGCTAATGTACTCAATGCTTTTTTTGCCTCTGTCTTCACGAACAAGGTCAGCTTCCAGACTACTGCACTGGGCAGCACAGCATGGGGAGGAGGTGGCTAGCCCTCTGTGAAGGTAGAAGTGGTTCAGGACTATTTAGAAAAGCTGGACGTGCACAAGTCCATGGGGCCGGATGCGTTGCATCCGAGAGTGCTAAAGGAATTGGCAGATGTGATTGCAGAGCCATTGGCCATTATCTTTGAAAACTCATGGCGATCGGGGGAAGTCCTGGACGACTGGAAAAAGGCTAATGTAGTGCCCATCTTTAAAAAAGGGAAGAAGGAGGATCCTGGGAACTACAGGCTGTTAGGGGGCTTATTCCTTCACCCACTTACTTCCCTGGTCCTTCTCGCATGAACAGAGAGCAACAATACCCGAAGTCCAAAGGTGCAAACAATTCGATGTTTATTGGGGTGAACTTCCAGCAAGCATGATTCCAGTTTCCTTCCTTAGTATCCTCCTTCCCAGCTCTGACACCACAGAGCCTTACACCTATGTCCCTGTTCCCATTCCTACCCTTAGCCAAACATGATTCCAACTTCCTTACTCCCATTCCCTGTTCCCATTTCCCCCTTTAGCAAAACATGATTCCAATTTTCTTACCCCCATTCCCTGTTCCCATCTCCCTCCCCCACCCACCTTCCCACCCACACTCACTCACTTCCTCACTGACTACAGATTATATAATACAACTTGAGTTCTGCTTAGCTATACCTTAACCAATCATTTTCCTGAAATTTAACCAACCAATCCTAACATATTTATGAAAATAACATGATTATGAAACCAATTATATCCCACCATCTTAATTAGTTTACACCCAGCAAAATTAATTATACAGCAGACAGGAACAATCACAGAACCAGAGAGATTATACAGACAAACAATAGCAAAGTGGGAACTATAATGACAAAACAATACAGAAGTGAGGATTTCACATCCCAGCTATTGATAAGTGAGTTCTTGCCAGACAGGATGCTATCAAACTAAGTTTCCTTTTACATTTTCTAGGCACTTCCCTTTCTCTGGAGGTGATAGGAATACCATCCTGTCCTGACAGTGCCTAACAGCCCAATAGCACCTTATTTCAATGTGACTAGTTTGGAATGTGAGGATGTGACTGTTCGCTTCCTAGCTTATGGCTGCCTCTGCTGCTTAGCCAAAGGCCTTAGCCTAAGAACAGGGCCTCAGACTGTGATAGTAAGAGAAGGCCCTTACACCAGCAGACAGTGATTTTGATTCTTTCTTTTATACCTCTAGAACTAGCGAAGTGATAAGAATACACCTAAATTCTTAAAGTACAGGCCTTTGCAGACAGGCCTGAATATCTATATCCTAACACAGGCCAATCAGCCCCACCTCAGTCCCCAGAAAAATCATGGAGCAGGTCCTCAAGGAATCAGTTCTGAAGCACTTAAAGGATAGGAAAGTGATCAGGAACAGTCAGCATGGATTCACCAAGGGCAAGTCATGCCTGACTAATCTAATTGCCTTCTATGATGAGATAACTGGTTCTGTGGATGAAGGGAAAGCAGTGGACGTGTTATTCCTTGACTTTAGCAAAGCTTTTGACACGGTCTCCCACAGTATTCTTGTCAGCAATTTAAAGAAGTATGGGCTGGATGGATGCACTACAAGGTGGGTAGAAAGTTGGCTAGATTGTCGGGCTCAACGGGTAGTGATCAATGGCTCCATGTCTAGTTGGCAGCCGGTATCTAGCGGAGTGCCCCAAGGGTTGGTCCTGGGGCCGGTTTTGTTCAATATCTTCATTAATGATCTGGAGGATGGTGTGGATTGCACCCTCAGCAAGTTTGCGGATGACACTAAACTGGGAGGAGTGGTAGATATGCTGGAGGGTAGGGATAGGATACAGAGGGCCCTAGACAAATTGGAGGATTGGGCCAAAAGAAATCTGATGAGGTTCAACAAGGATAAGTGCAGAGTCCTGCACTTAGGACGGAAGAATCCAATGCACTGCTACAGACTAGGGACCGAATGGCTAGGCAGCTGTTCTGCAGAGAAGGACCTCGGGGTTACAGTGGATGAGAAGCTGGATATGAGTCTACAGTGTGCCTTTGTTGCCAAGAAGGCCAAAGGCATTTTGGGGTGTATAAGTAGGGGCATTGCCAGCAGATCGAGGGATGTGATCGTTCCCCTCTATTTGACATTGGTGAGGCCTCATCTGGAGTACTGTCTCCAGTTTTGGGCCCCCCACTACAAGAAGGATGTGGAAAAATTGGAGAGAGTCCAGTGAAGGTCAACAAAAATGATTAGGGGTCTGGAACACAAGACTTATGAGGAGAGGCTGAGGGAACTGGGATTGTTTAGTCTGCGGAAGAGAAGAATGAGGGGGGATTTGATAGCTGCTTTTAACTACCTGAAAGGTGGATCCAAAGAGGATGGATCTAGACTATTTTCAGTGATAGCAGATGACAGGACAAGGAGTAATGGTCTCAAGTTGCAGTGGGGAAGATTTAGGTTGGATATTAGGAAAAACCTTTTTACTAGGAGGGTGGTGAAACACTGGAATGCGTTACCTAGGGAGGTGGTGGAATCCCCTTACTTAGAAGTTTTTAAGGTCAGGCTTGACAAAGCCCTGGCTGGGATAATTTAGTTGGGGATTGGTCCTGCTCTGGGCAGGGGGTTGGACTAGATGACCTCCAGAGGTCCCTTCCAACTCTGATATTCTATGATTCTATGATACAATTTGCATCATTGGTGACTAACAATAACTTTGGAATAGGAGGAATGGGATAAATGTGATGCTCCCTGATTCCCTTTAGGAAGGGCATATTCAAATTACTCATGGGACAATGGAGTTGATAGAAAGGACAAATGGGTCCATCTCCAAACCAGGAAAACTGCAAAAGGCAAAAATGGGCCCCTCCTCTGGACAAGCTGAGGTATAACGGTGCTGCCAACACTTCAAACAGCTTTAAAGGTTAGTATGTGGGAATCAGCCAAAGTATTAAAGAAAAAAAGAAGTCTTCATAGCCCTAGAGTCTTTTATGGTGTTGATCTCCCTTGCAGATTTTCTGATGCCTAACACGGTCTGAGCTCCAAAAAAAAGTTTTCCCACACTCACTGCATTCATAGGTGCATTCATTTCTTACCTGTGTGCATTTTCTGATGTGTAATAAGATGTGAGCACCGAATGAATGTTTTCCCACACTCACTGCATTCATAGGGCCTCTCCCCGTGTGGATTCTCTGATGACTAACAAGGCTTGAGCGCTGACTGAAGGTCTCCCCACACTCACTGCATTCATTGGGTTTCTCTCCTGTGTGGATTCTCTGATGTGTAATAAGATGTGAGCGCCGAATGAAGCTTTTCCCACACTCACTGCATTCATAAGGCCTCTCCCCTGTGTGGATTCTCTGATGTTGAAAAAGGCCTGATCTGTGAGTGAAGTTTTTCCCACACTCACGGCATTGATAGGGCCTCTCTCTTGTGTGGATTCTCTGATGTTTAATAAGGGCTGAGTAGTCACTTAAGTTTTTCCCACACTCAGTGCATGTATTTTTTCTCTTTCCCATGAGGATTTCCTGCTGGATTGTTGTTTCCTTGAGGTTCTTCTGAGTTCCCTGAGAGTAAATACATTTACCCACTTTCTCCCCTGGCTGGTTTCCCTGCTCTCTCTCTGGTCTGTGCTGAATCTCACAGGATTTTCCCTGCTCATGACTCCTGGACACATTCCATTCCGATCTTTGTGATAATGCTCTGTGTTTATCTACTTGCTCAGCATCTTCCTGCTGACAATTCTGCTCCTCTTTCTCACATGCCATTGCATCACCTGCTGTGATAGAGACAGAAACCTCAAACAGGGATGGAAAGGGGAAGATCAAACCAAAAAAAGTGCTGGAGACAGGTCAAATAAAAATCAGGGACCGAACTCCCCCAAACTCTTCCCCCAAATAGGAGAGAGGAGGGGGATCAATTCAGCCTTCACATCCCATCCAAATTTGAAGGGGGAAGGGAGGAAGCAATGGCCCGGTGTCTGCTAGGATTTACAGGAAGCCATGAGCTATATTTACCCTGAGGATACAACCCCTGCTAGGGACAATAATGAACCGCAAGACCTCCCAAGGGCTTTGTAAGGCATCCCAGATGTTTCCTTCAGACACTTACAGATTCTGAGTTGGTTTAATGTTTCCTCACCTATGCAGTGAGTTCTCAGGATCTCTCTTTCCTCTGAACCCTGGAGGTCTGGGACCCATGGCTCTTCCCCTTGTTCCAGCTGGGAGAACACATCAGGTTTGGAAACTGGAAACCCTGCTCAGATGAAAGAAAACAAAGGAGTTCAGGTGATTTCATAAAAAACATTCTATTAATTTAACTTCAGTGCTTAGTGTGACCCAGTGTGCCTGGGGAAGTCCTCACTGAAAATGCCAAGGTCTGGGCAGGTTGACTCAATAGGTGTATCCCCTTGGTCTTTTCCATGGGTTCATTGTACAGCTCAGGGGTGGCTCTGGAAAATATCTTCAGAAGATAATATGTGGCTCCTGCTAGGAGCCGACTCGGGGGAAAAATGGTGGTTGCTCAGCACCCACCAGCAGCCCTATCAGCCTCCCTTCCCTCCCCCAGCACCTCCCACCCACTAGTGGCCTCCCCGATCAGCACCTCCTTCTCCCTCCTCCGTGGTCTTGCCCACTGTGATCAGTTGCTTTGTGGTGTTCAGGAGCCTCTGGGGGGGAAGGGCGGAGAAGTGAGGACATAGCATGCAGCCCCCCTTCTTCCCCTAGCGCTTCCCACCCACCGCAGTCAGCTGTTTCACGGCACTGAGGAGGCACTGGGCGGTGGGGGTAGAGAAGCAAGGACACGGTGTGCAGCCTCACCCCTCCCTCCCCCAGTGCCTCCTTCCTGTGCCTCCTGCCTGCTGCGATCAGCTGTTTTGCAACATGCAGGAGGCTCGGGAGGGAGGGAAGGAGCGAGGACACAGCTAGGGATAGGGTAGGGGGTGAGAAGAGGCGGGGGGGACTTGGGGAAAGGGGTGGAGTGGGGGGCGGGGCCTGGGACAGAGCCAGGGGTCCAGCACCCCCTGGCCAGCACCAGTGTCTCCTTGAAGAAAGCACACAGGGATTAGCTGGTGTAGAAATTTTTAATCAGAATTTTTCTTACACCATCTAACAATGGAAGGCAAGTGCAAACAGGAAAGAAAACACAGAGATGAAAATTGAGGTTTCCAACAGGAGTGGGAGAATAAGTACTTTTTCATTGAATGTAATGGTAAGGCCACGTGTCTTCTTTGCCAGATGTGTCTCTCTCAGTTCAAATCTTCAAACTTGCAGCGTCATTTTGCTTCTAGCCATCAAGAATTCCCACAAGGTTCTGAACTCTGCACTTTAAAACTGAAAACTTTGAGAAAACAAACAGATGTAGAAGCCCAGTTCTTCACCAGATGAGCCAACCGATCGCAGACTGTAACATTAGCCTCCTATTATGTGGCCTGGTACATAGCCCACGTGAAAAAGCCCTACTCTGAAGGAGAGCTTATAAAAACGTGCCTCACTGATGTGATTTCAATCCTGTCACCAGAGAACGAGAATCTACAGAAGAAAATTTCTGGACTGCAGCTTTCACACCACACAGTAGAATGCAGAATCTCCAATCTGAACAGTAACATTGAATCGCAACTGCACTCACAACTTCAGCAGTATGAATATTTGAGCATCGCTTTGGATGAGTCATGCCATGCACAGGATAAACCTTATTATTGGTACTTGTCCGCACTGTGTCCTACGACTGTGTTGTAAGGGAAGAACTCCTCGATATCGTGTCACTAAAGGACAGAACTCGGGGATGAGATCTAAAGGAGGCGTTGATGTTGGTAGCTGTGAAAAGCCACTTGCCTTTACAGAGGCTCACTGCCATTGCAACAGATAGGGCTCCATCCATGAGGGGATTTGCAAATGGATAAGTAGGGCTTTGTAAGTCTAAGGAGAGCTTTCCCGAATTTTGGACATTTTACTATTATTCATAGGGAGCAACTGATATATATATAAATCTCAAATTTGACCACATCATGAAACTGGTCTTGCACATTGTGAATTTCATTCTCTCAAATGCACTCAATCACAGACAATTTCAAAATCTAATTGAAGAACTGGATGAAGATGACTCCCCTGCCGATTTCACTGTGCAGTTCAATGGCTCTCAAGAGGTAAAGTTAATTCCTGTTTTTTTGAGCTCCCAAAACCAGTAAAATTGTTTATGGAGGAGAAGCACAGAATACATCCAGCAACAAACCTTGATGCCAACTCTGCCCACAGATCTACACCAGCGACACCATCACAGGACCTAACCAGATCAGCCACACCATCACAGGTTCATTCACCTGCATGTCCACCAATGTTATATAAGCCATCATGTGCCAGCAATGCCCCTCTGCTATGTACATCAGCCAAACTGGACAGTCCCTATGTAAAAGGATAAATGGACACAAATCAGCTATTAGGAATAGCAATATATAAAAACGTGTAGGAGAACACTTCAACCTCCCTGGACACTCAATAGCAGATTTAAAGGTAGCCATCCTCCAGCAAAAAAACTTCAGGACCAGACTTCAAAGAGAAACTGCTGAGCTTCAGTTCATTTGCAAATTTGACACCATCAGCTCAGGATTAAACAAAGACTGTGAATGGCTAGCCAGCTACAAATGCAGTTTCTCCTCCCTTGGAGTTCACACCTCAACTGCTAGAAGAGAATCATAGAATCATAGAATATCACGGTTGGAAGGGACCTCAGGAGGTCATCTAGTCCAACCCCCTGCTCAAAAGCAGGACCCATCCCCAATTAAATCATCCCAGCCAGGGCTTTATCAAGCCTGACCTTAAAAACTTCTAAGGAAGGAGATTCCACCACCTCCCTAGGCAACTCATTCCAGTGTTTCACCACCCTCCTAGTGAAAAAGTTTTTCCTAATATCCAACCTAAACCTCCCCCACTGCAACTTGAGACCATTACTCCTTGTCCTGTCCTCTTCCACCACCGAGAATAGTCTAGAACCATCCTCTCTGGAATCACCTCTCAGGTAGTTGAAAGCAGCTATCAAATCCCCCCTCATTTTTCTCTTCCGCAGACTAAACAATCCCAGTTCCCTCAGCCTCTCCTCATAAATCATGTGTTCCAGACCCCTAATCATTTTTGTTGCCCTTCGCTGGACTCTTTCCAATTTATCCACATCCTTCTTGTAGTGTGGGGCCCAAAACTGGACACAGTACTCCAGATGAGGCCTCACCAATGTCGAATAGAGGGGGACGATCACGTCCCTCGATCTGCTCGCTATGCCCCTACTTATACATCCCAAAATGCCATTGGCCTTCTTGGCAACAAGGGCACACTGCTGACTCATATCCAGCTTCTTGTCCACTGTCACCCCTAGGTCCTTTTCCGCAGAACTGCTGCCTAGCCATTCGGTCCCTAGTCTGTAGCTGTGCATTGGGTTCTTCCGTCCTAAGTGCAGGACCCTGCACTTATCCTTATTGAACCTCATCAGATTTCTTTTGGCCCAATCCTCCAATTTGTCTAGGTCCCTCTGTATCCTATCCCTGCCCTCCAGCATATCTACCACTCCTCCCAGTTTAGTATCATCCGCAAATTTGCTGAGAGTGCAATCCACACCATCCTCCAGATCATTTATGAAGATATTGAACAAAACCGGCCCCAGGACCGACCCCTGGGGCACTCCACTTGACACCAGCTGCCAACTAGACATGGAGCCATTGATCACTACCCGTTGAGCCCGACAATCTAGCCAACTTTCTACCCACCTTATAGTGCATTCATCCAGCCCATACTTCTTTAACTTGCTGACAAGAATACTGTGGGAGACCGTGTCAAAAGCTTTGCTAAAGTCAAGGAATAACACGTCCACTGCTTTCCCTTCATCCACAGAACCAGTAATCTCATCATAGAAGGCAATTAGATTAGTCAGGCATGACCTTCCCTTGGTGAATCCATGCTGACTGTTCCTGATCACTTTCCTCTCATGTAAGTGCTTCAGGATTGATTCTTTGAGGACCTGCTCCATGATTTTTCTGGGGACTGAAGTGAGGCTGACTGGCCTGTAGTTTCCAGGATCCTCCTTCTTCCCTTTTTTAAAGATTGGCCTCATCCAAAGAGGGCCTCATCCTCCCTGATTGAACTAACTTTGTTATCCCTAGCCTGATTCTTGCTTGCATATTTATACCTGCCTCTGGAAATTTGCACTACATGCATGAGACAAAGTAGGTATTCACCCAAGAAAGCTCATGCTCCAGTACGTCTGTTAGTCTATAAGGTGCCACAGGACTCTTTGCCGCTTTTACAGATCCAGACTAACACGGCTACCCCTCTGATACTAGAATACATCTTGAACTTACAGATCCTGGATGGGTTCTAGACTTGGCATTTCTTGCAGACATGCTGCTGCATTTGGATAAAATAAACATGGACTTACAAGGAACATTTTGGTTGCTCTCTGATCTAGTGCAAGGCGTATTTGCATTCATGAACAAACTGCAGTTGTTTCACAGATAAATGCTTGAGGGAGAGAAGCATAGAATATCAGGGTTGGAAGGGTCCTCAGGAAGTCATCTAGTCCAACCCCCTGCTCAAAGTAGCACCAATCCCCAACTAAATCATCCCAGCCAGGGCTTTGTCAAGCCTGACCTTAGAAACTTCTAAGGAAGGAGATTCCACCACTTCCCTAGGAAACCCATTCCAGTGCTTCACCACTCTCCTAGTAAAAAAGCTTTTCCTAATATCCAACCTAAACCTCCCCCACTGCAACTTGAGACCATTACTCCTTGTTCTGTCATCTGCTACCTCTGAGAACAGTCTAGATCCATCCTCTTTGGAACCCCCTTTCAGGTAGTTGAAAGCAGCTATTAAATCCCCCCTCATTCTTTTCTGCTGCCGACTAAATAATCCCAGTTCCCTCAGCCTCTCCTCATAAATCATGTGCTCCAGCCCCCTAATCATTTTTGTTGCCCTCCGCTGGACTCTCTCCAATTTTTCCACATCCGTCTTGTAGTGTGGGGTCCAAAACTCGACACAGTACTCCAGACGAGGCCTCACCAATGCTGAATAGAGGGGAATGATCACATCCCTTGATCTGCTGGCAATGCTCCTACTTATACAGCCCAAAATGCTGTTAGCCTTCTTGGCAACAAGGGCACACTGTTGACTGATATCCAGCTTCTCGTCCACTGTAACCCCTAGGTCCTTTTCTGCAGAACTGCTGCCTTTCCACTCGGTCCCTAGTCTGTAGCGGTGCATGAGAGTTGACATACT